CATTTGTTTCTGCTTTAGTCATTTTTTTTTTCTTTTCTTCTTGTAGCTTTAGATTTAGTTTGCATCTTTCTGGTATTCTCTGCTTTCAGCCAGAATCCATCTGACATCTGCAATGATATCCCTCATTCCATGTCCTCTTCTGAAGCTGGCTTGCATTTCAAGCTGAAGATTTAGACTATTTATTTGAACATTTCTTCTTTTTTAATAATTTCTTCCTTCTCTCCTTCTGTTTATTTTCCCTAAGTATTTTTTTAGTGGTTATCACTAATATTACATTGAATAACTTACAATTGCAGGCAGTTATTTCAGCTTTCTGTCATTAAAAACAAGTGACATACAACATCAACACACTAAAACTACTCTTGTTTTGCTCATCCTTACTCCCTTTCTGTTATTGAGTCTCCAGTTACATCACTGTAGATCCTACACCCAACAGGTTTAATTTGTATTTATTTTTTGTGCACTTGGGTAAAGTTATAATTATTTTCCTTCAATGCTTTATACATGTCATGCCATTGTCTTCTTATTTCCAGGGTTTCTGAGGAGAAATTCACACTAATTCTTATGAAGGACCCCTGATATGCTGTATTGTGCTTTTCTATTGTTGCTTTCAGGATTCTCTCCTTTTCTTTGGTTTTCAAGAATTTTCTTACAATATGTTGTGGCATATATCTGTTCATATTCCTTCTGCTTGGAGTCCAGCTAGCTTCCTGAATTTGCAGGTTCATTTCCTTATTTACTTTGATATATTCTCTGTGATTATCTCTTAGAATATTATTTCTATGTCTTTTTCATTATCATTTTGTTCTGTAATTCCAAAAATCCTAATGTTGGATTTTTTAATTGAATCCCATAGTTTCATTTGGCTTTGTTCACTTTTCTGTTTTTTTTTTTTCTCTTGTTTCTCTTAAAACATGATAAGTTCAATTACTTTGTCTTTTAGTTCTCTCATTCTATCTTCTATCTTTTAAAATCCATTGTTGAATTTTTCTCTTGAATTTTCTAATTCAATTATTTTATTTGTCAATCCCAGTATTTCTCTTAGGTATATTTTATGTTTTCAGTCTTCTTATTGAGTTTCCCAATTTGCTCCTCCTTTTATTTCCTAATCTCCATTAGTTTGTTTTTCGTGTGTTCTTTGACTTCTTTAACATTGTTGTCTCGGAGGTCTTCTATTTTTTCTAACTAACCAGGTCTCCACTGGAGAAATTTCTGTTTCTTCATATTTTTATTTTGATTGGGTCATCTTCTCCTGTGATCTTGTATGTTTTATAATTTTTTTGTTTAGCATAGTCTTTCTAATATCTTACTGTGATAATCTGAAACTCAGAATTTTCTGTATTTCCAGGAATTCTTATTATCCTTTATACCCTAATTCCACCTTATTCCCCTAAATTCCAATAGGGGGTACTCTGGCCCTTTGGTTCTTCCAGTGCTGACTCCGTCTGAGGCATTTTGTTGTTGTTTTAGGCATTTTGTAAAATTTTAAGTTTCTTAGTGCTGACTCTGGGTGGTTTTCCCCAAGGTGACTGACCATATAGGTGTGTGACATTTTCTCTGAGATCTGTAGGTTGAGTGTTTTCTTTCATAGATGATTTCAACACTGTGGCAAGTTTCCTTTGCATTTACCTGTGGGAGTGCAAAGCAGTTTTTTCTCTGTGGCTGATTGTGCAGGCTTAAGACTTTTCTTCTGGCCAGTGGAAATAGTGAGGCACGGTTTTCCTGAGACAGGGTGGGGATAGTGCTTTATGTCCTTACTAAACTGGTAATTCTGTGCAAGCTTTCCAGTAGTGCCTCATTGTTTTGTTGGGAGCCAGTTGATTTCTGTTGGCTAGCCTATCTGATGTACTTTTCTCTTCCTGATCTAAGGATGGATCCTACAGCTCTTCTGTGGCTCTGGTCCTAATGTTAACCTCTATTCGATCTCAGGCTGACTCAGTAGCACTCACTTCCAGCTGTTCAGCTTCCCTGCCCCTCCACAAATGGCCACTTGGGCTTTCCTGCTGCATGCTCTTGAATTCTCACAGCCAATGTGCACCACTTTAATCTCCGCGCTCTTTTCCAAGTTTCCAGAATTTCAAATAGTTACTGTGTGTTGTGCCGATATGTCACCGTCTCTCAGTTCTATCCTGAGGAGAAGACATCACCACCATTTTTGTATGACCTTTCCAAGGCTATTTCCATAATACATCTGAGTCTGTGTGTATGTCCTCAGTGTACATGCCATCCTGGGTTCTTTGTTCAGGGATGTTCCCTGTCCATGTCCCAAAACGTTGTTTGAGCACCAGGTAAGATGCTGGCAGTCAGCAAAGCTGTCTTTCCACCATCCAGCACTATCTCTCCTGTTTCAGGTTTCACATCAGTTCTCCAATACTTCAACTACTGTCCAGAGTTTTAAAATATTGACCTTAACTTTTATTTTTTGTTCATTGGCTTAGATGTAGGGAGGTATAGGGGAACAAATGCTTATGCTACCTTCTTGTCCTTCCTCTCCTATTGGTTGATTTTTAGTAATTTCATATCATTTGCAATTTCTCTGAAGACCTTGATTTTCCTAGTCTTACACCGTGTGGTTTTCTAACTTGTTGATCTCTGTTAATAAAGATGCATTTTTTTTTTATTTTGTATAAAATGAATATTCTTTTTCATGTTATTTTTCCTAAACTTTTATCAATTCGGTTTTTGTGCACAAATGTGAACTTGAAGTTTCATAAAGGATGCTTTGCACTATCCTTTTTTTTTTTTTTTTGCCAGATTTCTACTCCGATTTAATAAGACAGGTTTCTTTGTGCAAAACTTAGGTGTCTCCTTTCTAAGGAGCCAGGGTTCTTACTTATCTTAGTTCATTGTGGATTCTCTGGGAACATATTTCTCTCCTGGACCTAAGATTTGTTGTTGCTGGGTGTCATCAAGTGATTTCCTACTCATAGTGACCCTATGTACAACAGAATGAAACACTTCCCAGCTCTGTGTTATCACAATCATTATGCTGAGCCCATTTTCACATCCACTGTGTCTATCTGTCTCCTTGAGAGACTGCCTCTTTGTCACTGATCTTCTGCTTTACTTAGCGTGATATCCTTCTCCAGGGACTGGTCCAACATATGTGAGACAAAGTCTCCTCATCCTTGCTTCTTATGAGAATTCTGGCTGTAATTCTTCCGAGACAGATTTGTTTTTTCTTCTGGCAGTCCACTGTATATTCAATATTCTTCACCAACATCATAATTCAAAGACACCAATTATTCTTTGGTCTTCCTTATTCATTGTCCAGCTTTTGCATGCATAAGAGGTGATTAAAAACACCACTGCTTGAGTCAGGCACACCTTAGTTCTTAAAGTGATACGTTTGCTTTTAACACTTTAAAGAGGTATTTTTTGTAGCAGATTTGCCCAATGCAATGGGTTATTTGATGTCTTGACTGCTGCTTCCATGGGTTTTGATTTCAGATCCAAGTGAAATGAAATCCCTGACAACTTCAATCTTTACTCCATTTTTCATGATGTTGCTTATTGGCCCAGTTGTGTGGATTTTTGTTTTCTTTACGTTGAGGTATAATCCGTATTGAAGGCTGAGGTCTTTGATCTTCATCAGTAAGTGCTTCAAGTTCTCTTCACTTTCTGAAGGCAAGGTTGTGTCATCTGCATAATGCAGGTTGTTAATGAGTCTTCTTCCAATCCTGATGCCCCGTTCTTCTTCATATAGTTCAGCTTCTCAGATTATTTGCTCAGCATACAGATTGAATAAGTATGGTGAAAGGATAAGACCCTGGCACATACCTTTCTTGACTTAAACCATGCAGTACCCCTTGTGCTATTAACGACTTCCTCTTGGTCTATGTACATGTTCCTCATGAGCACAAGTAAGTGTTCTGGAATTCTCATTTTTCTCAATGTTATCCATATTTTTTATGATCTACACAGTCTAATTCCTTTGCATAGTCAATAAAACACAGGCAAACATCTTTCTGGTATTCTCTGCTTTCAGCCATGATCCATCTGACATCTGCAGTGATATCCCTTGTTCCAAGTCCTCTCCTGAATCCAGTTTGAATTTCTGGCCGTTCCCTGTCAATGTACTGCTACAACTGCTTTTGAGTGATCTTCAGCAAAATTTTACTTGCGTATGATATCATTGATATTGTTCAATAATTTCTGCATTCTTTTGATCATTTTTTATTGGAATGGTTACAAATATGGATTTTTTCCAGTCATTTGGCCAGGTAGTTATCTTCCAAATTTTTTGGCATAGACAAGTGAACACTTCAAGCACTGCATCACCGTAACAAAAAGAATTGGTTGACGTTCAACCATTTCAGGAGGTAGGGTATAATCATGAACCAATGGTACTGAAGGAGAGGTCCACGCTGCACTGAAAGCATTGGTGAAAAGCAGGGTTCCAGGAATTGATGGGTTACTAATTGAGATGTTTCAACAAATGGACCTAAGATTTACCGGTTACAATTCCCACATGAAAGCTTATATAATTCATTTAGAGCATCACCACTGTGAGACACACCAAGATTATCATACATTTAATCTGCTTTATCATTTTATAATATTATTTTATTTGATCACCTTTTCTGCTATATTTTTCTTATTACAAGAGAGGTTGATGTCTATATTTATGTATGTTTTTATAACATTTTATCTCCCATATCTCTCTATATTTATATGAAACATTTCAATAAAGTTATATAATGTTATTATCTGTATTCTTCCACTTTCAGTGATCTGAGACCATATAACAGGCTGCATCTCATAAGTGATCCATCAGGCATATGGAACTGAAACCTGTCATATTGAGACTTTTTGGAGAACAGAAACAAAAGTCTCATTTGTATTCACCCCTAACAGAGAGCATGAGTCTTCTTTATAGAGGAAATAAAGGAAGACAGTGCTCTGAGACTGCTGGGTGGAGAAAGGAAACGGCAGAGTCTGACAGGAAATGCCTTCTCCACCACACTTTTCTACGTAGACGGGGATCACATCTAAGAGAATCAGCTCAGATTTTTGAACAGAAGTTTCCCTGGGCTGTGTCTCCATGAACTTCTTGCACAGTAATATGGGGCTGTATCTACAGGGTCCATGTTGGTCATAGTTAGAAACACCAGATTTTTGGAGGTGTCTTTGAAAGTTGTGAGCTGTATCTCCAGAGATGGGCTGAACACTTATCATCCTCCCAATATATAATTGCAAGCACCTCCAGTGCCTTCCCTGGAGGTTGATGGATTAAGCCTACACCCGTACCACTAGTGTTCAGTAATAATCCAGAGAAAGTGTAGGTCAGCGATAGGGTCTGGGTTGGTTTCATCAGCACAGGACCAGACTCCTTCAGGGTGTTCTGGGAAAGAACCCCTGTGGAGAAAGCACAAGAAAAAGGGGATGCTAGTTCACATAGGTAACAGAATGCTTTTCATCCAGACATGATTGCCTGACCAGAGCACTCACATGAAGGGATGGTCAGCAGCAGGAGAGTGGTGCAAAACATGCTCATGGTGGAACAGGAGTCACTGATGTGAGACTAGGGTACAGCTTTTCAACCCAGGAGAGGGTGGGACTTGTGGAGATTTGCATTCCCTTTAAACAGGTCCTGACCCTATAGAGGAAAGCCTGGTGACTTAGTGGTTAAGAGCTATGGCTGCTAACCAAATGGTCGACAGTTATAATCCACCAGATGCTCCTTGGAAACTCTATGGGGCAATTCTACTCTGTCCTAAAGTGTTGCTATGAGTCGGAATCAACTCGACGGCAATGGGTTTCATTTCTCTTTTTTTTTTTTTTTAACCCTATAGAGTCAAAAATGCAGTAGATGAGCAAATAACTGATGAAGGAGTAGTGAGCCTTAGGTGTGGGCTTCCATACACCCTTCTCTCTGAGGGCAACATGAGTATTGAAAGTCCAGGATCTCAGAACACAAAGTCCTTGGAAGTGCAAGATGCAGTGAAAGTTTCGAGGCTCTGGTTAAAACATATTGCATCATCTCTTTGAATGTTTGCTGAAGGACTTTTGCCCTTGTGATTACTGTTCCAGAGTAGTAAGGCTAGATATCAAGACAGATGTGTGTTGTTTTTGCCATCAAGAAGCACAGAGGTGTATGATGTGAGGAGAGTGGAGGTTATTCCAAAATACTCTTTTAGCCTCTCTTTAATAAAAATTTGTTAGATGGGAGGTAGTCAAAACACAGATAATTTAAATTTACTGTGTAAACAATCCATTACCAACCAGTGTCACTCCTTGTGTGTACTCCTGAGTCAGTCTGCATTCAAGCCAGTATTTTTGTGGGAATAGTCAATAGGTAACACGCTTTGTGATTTTCCCAATAAGCCTTTATGAGAGACAGATGACTGTCTTGTCACATGTCTCCTTCTCGTTCCATATTGGAGTAAATGTATTAGGCAGCTGGAGGGCTCCCAGGGAAACAATTTTCTGACAGCAAGTCCTCACCCAGCCACTCTCTGCACCTGCACTAGAATTATTTCCCGTGCTTGTAGTGGCCTGGAGAGTTCCTCAAGCCCATATTTTCTTCACTGTTACATACAACAATGTGCAGAAATTGAACATTTTTTAGAACCATTCAGTTCTCTATAAGCACCTCCATGCTGACCTTTCTGAGCTCTGTAACTTTGTGGAACTAATCATTTTGAACATCATCTGTAAAATAAAATGATTGCCTGCCTTGTAGTGTTCTGAGTCCATAGTTATGCAGTTATTTCAAGACTTGTGGTTTACACATTGGCTCTATTGATGAGGTTTTGATTGCCAGCAGCAGAAAAGTATAATTAGAGGTATTTATTAGTTTATTTAACATACACAGCCCTCTTTTAGTCAGAGAAGAGGCTAGGAGGAGGTCTAGGACACAAAGAAAATGGGGTTGTGGAATTAGACCACATCCTTGATTTCTTCTTCACTGTACTTAGAAACACTCAGCTCCAATTGACTTTCCCCAACCTTAGGCTCAATTAATGATTCAGAATCACGGGAAGGTTAATTTTGACATAAATTTGATTACGAACTCAATTTTATGATAGGGAATAATATGTTTATTATATTTCCTACTAGACGTCACTGCATGGGAAACCTGACTTCCACAAAGAAAAACAGATGCTATTATCTATAGTTGGAGGGATGATAGATGTAAAGCAAAAGCGTCATTACCCCTGCAATCTGCCCTTCCCATAGTATATGCACATGCACACACATACATACATACTCACACACATATGCAATGACCCATAAACATATACTTTCTCTGTTTCTATTTTTAAATAATGCTCCATCTGATAACATGTAGATGACATATACACTACAGAAATATCACATTCAACTCTTGTAAAGGGAAAACTTCATTCACCTACTTAGGCACCACAGAGGTCCACACTTTTGAGTGATCACCAAGCTACAGTTAGTTTTCATGGATTGCATGGCAATATTCTGTAATGCTAGGACTTAATAATACCTCAAACACCACCAGAATACTGAATCTATAATAAAATGATGGCTTAGTGTTTTTAACCTTGTTTACATTCTTTCTTTTGCCCACAAGATTCAAAAAATGGAACATAGAGGAATGCACTCACAGGGTCACCAGGTGTAGCAGGTGGTGTTCGCGCACATCATCCACAAACGGCCTGTGTCCAGCCATTACCAGAGATGATGGGGTTAGATCCATCCACACTGAGTTTAATCAATACTTTTATCAGACAGAGGACGTAGCTAATCTCTCCTGGAATCATCATGGGAAGAGGGGTAGTGGAGTAGTCAAACACTGTGTGTTGAACTGTGTAGTGCACACAGATGTGTAAAACAGCTAAATTTAACTGAATTTTACACATCCATTTGTGCATTTAGATGAGTTAATCACCAGTGAAGGCAATAAAAAAAATGCAAAGGAATGACATAAAACTTGAATTCCGAGTTATCAGGCAGATGGTTGCAGCATCTGAATTTGTTTTTTCATTGGGAAAGTTATGAAGTAATACTAAAGCCCTTCTTTTCTTAAGGCACACTAGAAGAAATGGGATAAAATACCTTTATAAAAACATATACACACATACACACATTAATGTATATGTATTACAATGCACTTAGTAACATACACACTAATGCAAACACACACTAACACAGAGATTCACATAATATTTTCTCATTAATACACACGCTGACATACACATGTGTACTAAGGCACACTAACACACATTATTGTATACAGTAACGCACACACATTAGTACACATACACTAACAAACATACAATACACACCCACACTAATACAGAAACATACATTAGCACACAGATTGACACACAGAGAATCACACACACTAAAACACACTGGTGTTATAACAAAGAAATGAACATTAGCACACATGCTATTACACACAGAACAACACACACACTAACCCACACAATAATGCATGCAGATTAATACACACAAACATACATAAAATAACATGCAAAAGCACTCATACACACATATTCAGTTACAAGAATGAGGAGGTCTATGGAAAACATATTTTCTGTGCAGGAAAAGGAAATTCTATCAAGTTAATTTAAGAACTCCTTCCCTAGGTTCCTTTGCATATCCTCATAAGATACGCCCTGTGATCCATGGGTCCTGAGTGCCCCCTGCAGCCAAGCCTTCTCTCTGCAGGAGGTATGTGTCTGGGCTTTCACTGTCTTTGCCTCACTCTGTCTTTCATACAGTAATAGGCAATCTTGTCCACAGCTGTCACAGAGCTCAGGTGCTGGGAGAACTGGTCTTTGGATATGTCTCTAGAGAAGCAAAGTCTTCTCTAGAAGGACGGGCTGAGTTGTGTTTGACCATTTAACTTGAAATGAGCTCTGTAGGTGCAGTAGGTAGAAGAACACATGTCCAGTCCAGGGGACATAGGGCAGGAAGGGTTGTGAGCACAGTGGATGCACTTTAAGATAAAGAATAAATGTGCCCTGTCTCTTCCAACCTGTATATCAATATTAACATTTCAGTTAACCTCCTCCATCCCCCATTTCCTTATTCATTCATTCATACATTCATATATTCATGTATTTACATAATATCTCCATGTTAAAATGATTTCCACTACTTTAAGAGAAAAATATGAATGTTCCTTGGTAATAGAGGTGCCTTATGAATGATTTGCAGAAGGGCCAAGATCACCATAGACAAAGGGAAATACTCTATCCCAGGAACCAGTTTATATCGAAAAATCATTTGAAAGTTGCCCTCCTGAGTTTACATGTCACTGAATCTTGGAATGGTGGCTGAAGTCCTACAAGTAAATAGTGGTAGAAAGCACAGCACAAGACTGTCCCTCCTCACTTTGTGACACTGATGATTTGTGCTCACGCATCTAAGCTTCTGTCTGAAAAGACATAAATTAGAAATCACAGAAATAACTTATAACTGAATTTGATAGTAAGGACCCAGTATTTTTAGATACTATTATTACTGTAATTAGTGTGATAATCACCCCCTTGGAACCCTAGATGTCCTCTGTAAGCTGTCATCTCTGACCACCAGAATTACACAAGGAACATCTGCTCGGGTCCTGCCCTGGCCTGTGACACCTGTGCGACTAGGGCAGCCCAACCCAACAAAAGCCAGTGTCTTCACCAGTACATTGATGGGTTTAGATCCACATATCACTTACAATCCCTTTCATCCATATCATGCCGTAAACAGAGCCTTCAATGCAGCACATTTCCAACTGGCTACTCAATATTAGTCAAGTGAATTAAACAATAAACATTCACCATGCTTGAATGTAGGCAATAGGAAAGTCACCAGAAGTAGGATGAGTTGAACCCTCTGGATAGGATCTAGAAAAGTGGGTTGACCTAAGGTGCCACTGTGGTCCCATTACTCACTAACGGGTCTCTGAAGCCTGAGTTTTCACAGAGGCAGTAGTGTTAATCCTGGTCTTCAGGGTATAATGTACCAGGAGAGACACATATTTAAAAATTTTGCTCTCAGAGGAAAATAAATTATGTAGGATATGTGTTTATTGGCATAGATTGGTTCCTAGGGTCTTCCCATCACCAGGAAAGAAGACAGTTGTAGGTCACCAGAGGTAAAAAGAGACTGTAACACTTGTAGATATTATTAAAGGCAACTATGTGCTTATTATATATCCCTAGTAGATATCACTGAATGGAAAAGGGTGATTTTCAGAAAGAAAACAAAGTGATATTATTCAAAGTTGGAGGGATGAAGACACAAAGCAAATGTATCATTTCACATTTGGCTTTGTCTTCCCACAGTGTATATGCATATGCACATGCACACGCACACACACGCACACACACACGCAAAGATCCATACACATACACTTTCACATATCTTCTTTTTTTTTGTCTGAGAAATTATAGCTGATTCATGTACCATAGAAGTGTCACATTGAAATCTTCTGCAAAAGAAAGACTTCATTTAGTTGCTGAGAAAAAAAGAATTCACAACTTTTGAGTGATGACCTAGTTAGAGCTAATTTTCCTATCCTCT